CTAACTCACCCCCACAACTCTGGCAGGTGTGGAAGTTGCATTGACTGGTCGGTGAACTACAGTTGTGGCTGTTGCAGCAGCAGGTGCAATAGTCCGAACCGTCCCAGAAGTTGTAGGAGCTCCAGGCCGGGCGACAGACATCTGAAATAATAACCAGTTTTGTGAGGCTTGTTGGACATCAAAATACAGTAAACAGAACATCCAAGTTTATGAAAGAAAACTATTGATGGAAGCATTAACTATTGTAATGTTCAAAATGGTTTAAAATATGTCCAATATTCAGTTATAGTTGAGCAGGCTGACATTTTCAAATTATAGAGAATGTGAAAGAATTATATAAGGCAAAGGAAACAAGGTTCTATTAATTTACCCTCATCTAAACAACTGCCCTACTACCATTGATAAATCATTGTAATATAATATTTCAAGTACTTTTCCTTACTGTTTAATAATAATTTGCAGAATCATGACCATCTTAAAATATAATCTTTGTGGCTTCTAAAAGTAAAAAGAAAAATAACACGATAATAAAAACACATTGTTATTAGTAACTGTTTCCTTACAGCCAGATGCAACTTCGTGTAAAAAAACAACTCATTTCACACACTTGCTCAAAATGTTCCTCAACCATATAGAGGTCATCCATAACCCATATAACATGTTTTTGTTTCTGTAATACGGCTACATTTAAAGGGAACAAGGGTTTAACGCCTAGAAGGGGGGCATGGCAGTTTTATGTGTGTATAACAAAAGGCAATTTCATCTGAAAATTTTCCACTAAATATTTTTCTTAGTCACTTTGTCTTAATTTTCCCTACACCGTAAAGAAAGAGTGAGTCAGGTCCAAGCCAGCCACATTTCATATATAACGGTAGCACATCTTTCTTTAAATTTCGATCTTCTAAGATACCTTTGTCTCGTGTTCAAAATTCAGTCACCATACCCACCATGCTCTCAACAGAAAAAAAAAAAAACAAGTGGCATCTGTCTGCCTCGTGTCATCCCCTCCACCTTGTTCACTCAACCCTTCCCCCCTTCCCCCCATCTCCCTCCACTTCACCCATGTCTCCTATTCCACCTTGTTCCCTCCACACTCCCTCTGCGTCTCCCACATCCTTTTGTAATGCTTAGATTAATTGGTTTGATGTGAGTGTGGTGGGAAGACGACCCCCTAAAATAAAACTGAACTATGATTCAGCACTGATACTCAAAGTTAGGTTTACAGAAAAAATATATATCAAAAGCACAAGACATTATTAGTAGGTGGAGAAGTCTGTATATTGTGATTATTACTTTATAATGTAGAACTTATTACTAGATCATTTTGATAGATTATTTTGGTACAATATTCATTTATGATCCCAAGTAAGATATCAAAAAATTTATTGTTACCTGGTTACAAATTAAGCTGGCTATAATATTGTGAATTCTTTAAAAATCCTTAAGAATACTAACATCAACCAAAATTTTACTAATTTACTTAATCTCAATAAGGTATACATTTCCTATTTTAGCATCTTCCCATTATGTAAAAAAAAAAAAACACTATGGGTAATGCTATAGCTATCAAATGACAATTCATATACAAAAAAAATAAAATAAAACATTAAGTGAAATGATGACTATGATTTATTTTTTAATTATCTTATCTCTAATTCTATGTGATGACCTTATAATGACATCCTGACATTTTGTCCTTTTGTACATTCTGGTTAGGCAACATAAATAACTATCGATCATATAACTTTCATGTCTTAACACCATCCCCCCCCCCCCATCTCTTGTGTTAACATAATAATTAGTACCTTATTATCTATCATTACTGAAGAATATTTCTTATCGTTTCTAACTCTGAGCTACCTACCGCAGGTATGACTGTGGTGACACCAGTAACAGGAGTGACTGCGGATAATGGTGGAGGCCGCACTCCATCAATGGTTAATTCTCCACGCGCTAGGGATACACGCAGGTACGGCAAAGTTTTCTGTGGACGAGAAGATTATTCTTCATTATGCACCAGCAAGTCATGGAGAGAGCTCAGTTCCATTACCTCTACCACTTAAAGACACATTTAAAGCAATGCAGTACTGACTTACCTTGAGGAAGGGAACAAGGCAAGGCTGTGGGGAGGAATTGAGGTCTTTCTGAAGCTCCTCAGTGAAGACTTCAGGCTCCACTCGTCCCTCAATGAGGCCCTGAATCAGATTTCGAACATTACGTGCCACAGTCGCCCGCTGCTCATTCGCCAATTTCAGTAATGTTGCCAGAAAGTTTTTACATTTTGTTTTTGCGGATTCGGCTGAGATAGTTTGCTAAATAAATGGAAAGAGAAATTTTTGTTTAGTATTCGAAGCCTGAAGCAAAGATATTGCTAAATCATCAAAATCATTTAACCACAAATAGCAAAGCTTATTATACAGCCAAAAATACATAAATTCATGGAAAAAGTACAACCTAAATAACAAATACACAACTTTCAAGCTCTCAAAACTAAAATGATTAACAAGTGAATACATCATCAAACAGTCATGCACAAAGACAGAAAGACTCAGACAAACTGGACATAAACATTGGTAAACCATGCATAAAACAAACAAATAGACACCCATACACACACTCACACAAAAAATTAATTCATGAATAATATATGCAAGACTTTTTTCAGCCAGAATAAAGCTAGGAACTACATCCTGCTTACAACATCAAGGCAATATTATGTAGTTGTTTATACTATGAATTACAATTAACAAACATGCTTGACAGCAGTATAATTATCAAAATGAGGTACACAAAGTTGTGAACAGTTTATTGGTTATAACATGACTCTAATCATAGATAAATATATTACACAAGTAAAAATATTCATCAGCTGTAACTGGCAAAAATCCTGTCCAAAGATAGCTTGCATCTCCTCACAAGTACATACATACTACACACACACACACACATTTCCTAATTGATTTCCTGCCAAAAGGTTCTTGATCTCCATTTTTGCAATTTTAGCAGAATTCACCAATAGGTCTGAATAGCTACATATTAAACCTGACTCCTAAGTGATGTAAATATTGTTTTCTCATTCATTCTATACAACACACTTTCCTAACGAGAGAAATCTCTTGCATTCCTAGCAAATTGTGACATCTAAATACCAGAAGTTGTCTGGTTCATGACAAGTCAACTAAATTGGAAGAAATGGAATTGAAATTGAAAGAAATTGGAAGAAAAGCTGTGACCAATACAAGAAAATGTATGAATGAAAACTAACAGCTTCTCAGCACAAGAGATGCATCTGACGTTTTTCAATCTTAACTAGCAAAAGGTTCTGTAGTTTATGTCCTACAGGAGTAGGCAAAGGGTTAAAGATTTCACAAATGAATATTCCATTTCCTTAAAGAATCTTCCTTGAAACTCGAATATAAACAAACTTTATAAACCCTATAAATAAAGTTCAAATTATTTCCTAAGTCTCATTTTCAAAACTGTTACCATCTCTCCCACACCATGCTAAACATAACCAAACAGAAAAGAAAAAGAAAAAAAAAAAGAATATCCATAATATTATATACTCACAGAGCCTCCTGTTGCAGCAGCAGGCTGGGTTGTCTGGGTGACGGGAGCCGCAGCCGTGGTAGGAGTTGAGGGTACGACTGTACCTGCCACTGTTGTGCCAGGGGTGACAGGTACTGTTGTGGGGTTCACAGCAGTACCTGCTTGTGTAGCCATGGTGGTGGTGGTTGTCCCGGTGGATATGGCAGCAGTATTCTGTTGGATTGAAAATAGACAGTTGATCTAAAGAAGTTCTATGACTGAGTAGGTAGGCATCAAAGTACAGAATTCTCAATGACAAAAAAATTATTGCACTGATACTTTATAAAAATTAATCAAGACATAACTATATAACCATGCCAAAATGCTGGTTTCCTTCTACTGCTACTGCTAACATGCACAATCTTACATGCAACTAAATACAGTCAAGCAACAGAGGAAAAGTTGATCAAATATGGAGGTGTGTCTTATCATGCTTCTTTCTGCACAGGTTAAGTAATCTCAGAGAAAAGTGGAAATTTCAAGAAGGTAAGTTGTAATAGTTCTGTAGATTCTCCCTCATTTGGAATAGAAATACAGTCCTGAATATCGACAGAAAAGGCTATGGCACAGGCTCAACATCCTTTCCTCTTTATGCTACTCTGGAAATCTACAATCACTTTTATACATTAATGGAATATCACACAATAAAACATGGGATAGATCAACATTCCCCATGTAGTTTTGTAATACCTAAATGCATGTCTTTAAATTTCTTATACATCTATCCTTTAACATGAACCATAACCAGATTGGAGACTTGTTTCTCATCAAGGCCCAACTACAAGAACAGATACTCTTGTGCTATGGAACAGGGAGGGATGAACTACAACAGTAATCCAACATCCATAACAATCAGGTTGTGGGTAACAGGTAAACTATCTTACATACCCTAAAGAACAACATTAATTCTAAAGTGTAGGCAAAAAGTTTCAGTGTGATAACTCCCTCATTAAAGCAATAGTAGAAGAAAAGAAAAAATGTAAATTCAAGCTAACAAAATTCATATTCAGTAAGAAATGGCAGATATCATATGATACTTTATGTAATAAATTGAGAATTTTAATCCTTCTGTGGATACTCTTCAGCTTAATCCTCGAGTGTGTGTGTGAGAATGTGCATGTGCCTCCACATAACCAAATATGTATAGCATATTGCAAATAACTATGTAAATGAACCACGAAGAGACACAGCTAGAATGAAGAAAAGAGAGAGAGAGAGAGAGAGAGCGAAAAAAAAAGGTGAGAATGAAATGATCTCAATGAATATATTGAAGACGTTGGGGCATGAATTTACCTATGTCAGTGAGAGAAGGGCTGACCACAAGCTATTCTGGTGAACTGCTGAGGAAATATTGTATGCATGGAAGTTGAAAGAAGTTTACTCTAGGGCCAGAATCTGCATGAAAATCATCTTGTCGCAGATAAAGCATATGAGTAAACATAATGAATCAGATAAGAGTGCCAGGTACATGTAATGTCCACTATAGTTTTGCTTTGTGAATTTTATGTCTATACAGAGGACTCCAAGAGTGTTTTATAAACAAGAAGTCAATTAGGCCTAATTAACTTCATCTGATTTCCCCATTCCTTGCACATTTGGGGGAGTTGTTATTTTTTTAACACTATCAAGATAATCATCATTATCATTATCATCATGATGATTATCCTGTTACTAACAATACAAATAGCAATAAAAACTATATTTTAACAAATCAAGGAAAACAGTGAACAGATGATTTCTAGTATGAATAGTAAAGAACACCTCAGTGATTGAACGTTTGTGGAGTCATCAATGTACACAAAAAATTAATAAACTGAACTCAGTAGACACAGCATGTATATACATGCCATTTCAGAATGATTGGGTTAATATGTAAATCCATAAGAAAACAAATGGTATAAATATGCACATGATACTAATGGAGAAAATAAAGAGGGAAGAATCAGAATGAAAACAAAATTGTAACCCTGTGTCATGATACTAAGTACAGGTTGAACCTCCCTAATTTAGAGTGTGTGGGACCAGATAGATGAAAAAAGTAGATTCTTAAACGGAGAAGCTTTTGGTAACAGAGACAAAATCCTGTGCATATGCTCTCTTAGTGGCATAGTTGTACAGTGGCATTCATGCAAACCAAATTCTGTCCAACATCAGTGAATGCTCATTCTGTGGGGCTTAACCTGTACTAAAAAATCAGTCGAATATAATGTCAAAATTGTTACCATCTCTCGATTTTAGAGAAAACATTCAGATGTCGAAAGAAACAGGCACAGAGATGAAGACAGTTTAGACCTCAACAGAACGTTTTTCACATGCATTTTATATCCCACAATAAGCAATTCTGAGTGTGTTGTAGGTAGATAAAGACCATTTCTAAGAGTAAAACAAAAGATTTTGTGGACTAACTTTGGAACATAATTCTTTTTTCTTATATATGATGCTCATACAACCTTGTGAAGGCTAACACAATGTATATAGGATAAAAATTCAAGCCATTTCTTACTGGTATAAAAATATAAAGTTAAAATTAGAAAAAAAAAAAAAAACATTAATCTCTAATTTCTTTAAATACAACTTATCCCTCACAAGATCCATGCATCAGATAAATTGCATCAATCACTGCTAATTACAAGCCTCAACATATAAACCAAAAGACAGATATTTAATCAAGTATATCAAGTAATGCTATTACCCATTATCTGATATAAAATACATTATACTAGGATTTTTCTTCTCTTTTCATGTGTCAATGTAGTTCTATCAGAGAGGGATGTGAACTATCTTAGAACTATATTTGTAAACAATGTAGAGTGTTTCTAAGACCTATTGACAACACTGTTTTGCATTTCACGAACTATGCAAGTTACAAATACAAAGACAATGTCACATATATCTTCCTGGTATGTATTCTCACACAGAAGAAATTAGATATAGAGATTGTCACCATATACAATAGTCTAGGGATGGGGTCTTAACCTGGATCAGTAGCTAAAACCAAATATCTGAAGTTACTTATCACAGATTATCTAATGGTCATCTTTCAGACATTTACTTACCACCTACTTTAGGCTTCTGTAATAGAAATATTCTACAAGTTGCAAAATAATTAGGCATGACTAATATGCAACTCAAATGAAATAACAGCAACAAAAGGACTTTATCAAAGGAGGTAAAAGTTCTTATCCATTACTTTTGATACACAAACTTAAGCAGTTATTGAAATATTCTGGCATGTAACAATACACTGCACAAGAACTTGTGTTGGCAATTCCTTTCACAATTAGAAATGGAAAAAAAGCTATCTAGATGATATATTACATTTGATATATTGGGCATAGAAGTTGTAGCATACCATATATACCAATAATAAATTACTGGGTTTCCAGTTCAGTTTCTGTAAGAGCCAATAGAACAATGTAGAAAACATCTAAACTACTTTCTCTTCCATAAATATTGTATATAGTTCATTATATACAACAGAAGACCCCCAATTCTCTAAGATACTCAGGATTTTGAGCCAACTATATGGCTACAATATATATTTCTATTGAACTAAATAGCTCAAGCTCAGGCTATGCATAGGAGATTTTGCATAAGTTGCCAAGCATGCAAAATATATGGGAAACATGCAAAAAAAGAAAAAAAAAATATATATATACCAAGTTGACTATCAATCTTTCTGTTACTCCCCTTCTCTAATCAACTCTTGAAACCCTATTCAATATTTTCTACAGTAGTAGTAATTGTAGTGTGGGGGGAGGGGACAAAGGGGTACTGGGGAGGGAGAGGGGCGTATGGGTAAACTGTGCAATTGGTAGCTCATAAACAGATACCGTACTCCATAATGTGCAAAATAAAAAGATAATCCACAGATTGCATAAGGTGTGAGACAATGTGCCGTTAGAAGCCACGATGCATCAGTGTAGGTTTTCTTGAAGTGAGTTGTACGAGGCTACTAGGGGTAAAAAGGCTGTGACAGTGAGACCTAAAAGATTGGGAAAAAAGGGAAGGACCAGCATTATCAGTAGTGCAGTATGGATCATTCATAAGGGATAGATGTGAGGGGCTAAAGAAGAGGCCTATGCTAATGATAATGAAGAAATGCTTTATGATTCGAGATGAACAAATGTACAAGAAGACAAGAGAAATTAAACCAAAATATGTAGAACCGAGTCTTTGTATATCTTATTAGCTTTAAAGCCTTTTGTAAACAATAAAGTGAAGCTAGTAATGAGAAGGAAAGGACATATGAAAAAAAAAAGTTACTTTTTACAAAAAAATTAATTCAAAAAATCTTGTCAGCCATATGTAGATATTTGGGATATACACTTGACATTCAACTTAGGAAAAAAAATGAATATAACCAAAAAATACAAGAAATAATAGAAAGTTAAAATAAAGATAATGAGGAATCAAAATAAACTATTATTGTTCACTTCAGTGTAATAAAGACCAATTATACACTCCAATGAAATCACAAGTATGAACTGTTCTATTGAAATAATTGGGGGAGGGAGGGGGAGTAAGATGAGGAGGAGGAGGAGGAGGAGGAGGAGGAGGAGGAGGAGGAGGAGGAGGGAGGAGGAGGAGGAAGGAGAAGAGGGAGGAGGAGGAGGAAGAGTGGAGAGAGAGGGTAAGGGAGGGGAGGAGGAGGGGAGGATGGGAGGGAGTGGAGGGTAAGGGAGAGGAAGAGGAGAGGGGGTTGAATATGGATCAGAAATATGAAGAACAGACTCGGCCTGAATTTGTGACCACCTAACCATTTGGGCTGATAACCCTGTGTGTGGAAGGAGTAAGAAGGAAGAGAAAGAAGAGGAGGAGGAGATGAGGGGGAAAGAAGCAGAGGAAAAGAGAAGGGGATAGGGCAAGGACGGGGATGGAAAGTAGGATGGAGAGGGAAATTGAAGGAGTAGGGATAGGAAAATGGGAGGAGGGAAGGAGGGGAAGGGGGGGTGGGGAGGAGGAGGAGGAGGAGGAGGGGAGGAGGAGGAGGAGGAGGAGGAGGAGGAGGAGGAGGGGGGAGAGGAAGAGAGGGGGGAGAGAGAGTGGAGAGGAATGAGAGAGAGAGAGGGAGGCAAAGGAAGGGGAAGGGAGGGGGAGACTTAGGTTAGGATGGAGTTAGAGAGGGAGAGGTAGAGAAAAGGGTAAGAAGGAAAGAGGAGAGAGGAGAAAAA